GAATACAATGACTCGCTGAAGAACATACTCCAGCACGTCAAGGAGAAAGGATTTCGGGTACTCAGCCTCGGAAGTGGCGTCCGCGGCCTGGTCTTCGGGTGGAGGCGCCTGGTCTTCTTGTGGTGGCGCATGATCTTCCGGAACAGGAGGTGCATCTGCAGCTGGAGTCGTAGGCGCCCTCTCTCCCCCCTCAGCACCCATCATGTCGCCGATCACAAACTCGGCCATTTCTGTCACATCCCAAACCTGGTCGGGATTATCTTGGTCGAACTTCCTCTTCAGGATGCTGAGACAGGTGAGGCAGTCGTTGGCAAACAAGTTTTTGCCGGCTTCGGACTCCTCGAATGTATCAAGGGAAGCCTTCAAACCCGCAATCTCCTTGCGAGCAGCCTTCAGCGCCTTCTTCTGCTCCCGTTGGCCGTCCCGGAGCCTATCCTTCTCCTCCTTAAGGATGTCAATCTCGCTAGCCTGGGCGCCCGCCTCCTTCGACAGCTCCTTCTTCTCCGACTCGAGCCTCGACACCTTCTCCTGCAGCTCCCTACGCTCCACCTTGAATTCCGCCTCACATTTGCGGCGCTCCTCCCCGGCGCCTTGTTGACGGGACAATTCCAGCGCCGCCTTCAGCTGGGCGTCTTCTGCTTCCTTCACCAGCTGCTCGCGGTGCCTGGTCACCGTCTCTAGGTCTTCATTCAACGCGGACGCCGAAGTTGAGGCCGCCAGCGCCTCCTCCTTCGACTCTAAAAGTCAGGGGGGCGCCTCTCTCCGCGAAGAGGAGAATCTGTGACAACACAGCTAAGGAATCACAACAAGTAAAATTTATGCAAGGTAAACTTGGCGAGAAATACGACAACCAACACACTTACCTTGGCGCCCACTTGGGCCAGCTCTGAAAATAGGTGGTCCCCGTTGACCTCCGATGGCACCTGCCACATTTTTGCGGCGGACATGGCTAAGCCCATGGCATACCCCCTGTCCACGGCCGACAGCGGGGAACACGGCAGGGCGATGCGCCCCAACTCGGCACAAAGCGGCAGCAAAACCGGAGGGTGCCCATCAGGGCCTACGAAGCGCCCTTCCTCATCTAGGTGCACCCGGGCGCCTTCACGCGCGCCCGGGCTGGGAGCCGCAGCCTTCTCTTTCCCCTTCTCACTTTTCCGGGCTTTTTTACCACCGCGAGTCAAGGGGGATCCCGCCCTCTTCTCACGGCGGACAAGAGAGGGCGCCTGTTCCTCCGATTCCTCCTCATTAGCAGAAGGTTCACAAGCCAGCTCCGGGGCGTCCGGTTCCGGGGCTGACGATGCCACACTGGCCGTCTTTGTTCGCTTGGGCGCCTTCGAAGGGGCCACCTTTGTGGGAGCCTTCCTCCAGGCCTTGCCTTTCTTGGGAACAGAAGGTGCAGGCGCCGACGGTTGAGCAGTAGCGACAGGACTAGGCGCCCCACCCGCCATCATTGCCAGCCTGCTTTTAATCAACTTCCCAATGGAAGTAAAATCCGACCCCGCACACAAACACAAGGATTAGCACAAGTAAAAATCAAGAAGAGCATAAGTGACTATTAAAGAGCGCCCACACACCATCATTAAAATACTCCTGCAACACCCTAATTCGATTCGCATTAACGCGAATATTTACAGGATGGGCACTAATCAGTTGGGCGCCTCGGGTCTCTTCTGAAGAAAGATATACCTTAGAATTAAAGGCCTCAATACTGCCCAGCGCCCAATGCCTCATGAAGGCGCCCCCACTCTCGAAGAACGAATCTTGATAGGCCTTCATGAAGAAAAATCATTTAAACCAGCTACGCCCCAACTTTGGGCACCTAACCACGAAGTGGTAGGGGAGCCTGGAGCGCTTCTGCAACGAAAGGCAGTTGTCCAGCGGCACCACATTGAAGAACCACCTGAACAGATTGAAGGTAGGCCTCACGTTGTGCTCCCTGCACCTGAGCTTGAAAAACACCACCACCGCCATGACAGACGGTGACAGGCGCCCCAATGGGCAATCACACATCGTCAAGATTCCCTCCAGGATTGGATCAATCGCGAAACACAACCCAAATCTGAAATACTCCTGGTAGATGCCTATCCACTTCGACCCACATACGCCAACCCTCGAAATGGGCGAGGGGGGCGCGTACCACCAGTATCGCGGAAGTTGGAGACTGGTCACCAGTTCATGTACTCGTGCAATCGTCACAGTCGACTGGCGATCTGGTTCTGCCACATCGAAGGGCAAACCCGCAGTCTCGGTGGGCAGATGATCCGGGGGAAACGCCTTCTCCCACGTGGTAATCTTATACGATCCATCAGCAGGCATGAAGCCCGGGTGGAGGCGCTTGTCGTTGCGGCAGACTCGGGCGCCCTCTCTAAACCAAAAACCAAACTAGGCGTACAATCCCGAATCGGGGTAAGAGTCTAGTCGACGCCTAAGTATAAGGTAGAACAGAAGGAAAAAAAAAAGAGAGAGAGAGCCCAGCAAAAAAGCAGGGAGAAGATCCAGTGGGCGCTTACCAGAAGTGGCAAGGCGGTTGGTGGCGGCACCCGCACCAGAGTTGGAAGGGAGAACGGACGAAGCGCCAACATCGGATGGGCGAGTAGGGGTGGCGCCCGCCCCAGAATTGGAAGAGGCAGAGGGAGAGGCGCCCGCACCAGATCCGCTGGCGACATTGTCTCGAGGGGAGGCCATGTGGTCGAAGAGTAAGAGTGGTTTTAGAGAGAAGGCCGAGAAATTATAGAGAGAAGGCAGAGCGAAGTTAGAGAGAGAGGGAGTTGAGGAAAATGACAGGAGGAAGGAGGTTGGGGGTATTTAAAGGGAGGAAGGGCGGGCATCGAGAGCTGCGCCTTCTGCCACGTGTCACGAAATCACGGACGGGCCTTTGAGCTTCCCCTATTTTTTGAATTTTGAATTTTGAATTTCCAATTTTAATTTTCAAAATTCAAAATTGGAATTTCAAAAGGCGTTAAAGACTCAAATCCCCGCCCGCGAGGGGGACACCCAGGCGCCCCGATCAAGCGTCCGTTCCACACCACGGGCGCCTCTTCGAGGGGAAGCATGAGCCTAAGAAAGTCTGCGGCGGGCAAAACGCAAGGTGCCTATTGAGGGGGGCATGAACCCAAGAGAATTTGGTCACGTGAGCGGGCGCCTGAACGCAGGATGAGCGTTGTGTGATGACTAGGGATTGGGCGTCGGGAAGTTAAACCTAGGCGGGTAATTGAGCGCCCGCCAAGAATGAGTCGTGCATGTTAAGAGACCAAGCTAAAAGATCAGTTAGGGACCATGAGCGCCTAACTGGGGGGCAATTGTTGGGGGTATTACCAAAGGGGCCCAAAGGTGGGCCCAAGAAAGAGCCCACTTGGCTAAAGGTTGCCCACACCAATGGGTCAGCAAGAAACAACCCGCAAATGGGCTTGTTAAGCCCACTCCATGCCAGGTGGGGTGGGCATGGAGACAAAGCACTAAGGGCCAAAGAAGTGCAGGCTGGCAAGTGGTCCCCCGCCTGTGGGCGCCTGCCAGCCGTTAGAAGCCTGACAAGGTGGTTGAGGCTTTTGACGGGAATGAAGGTACAAGCCATTTAATGTGACAGTGACGTGGAGGAAATCCATCTCGAACTCGGTGAGTATAAATAGGGGCAGTTGGTAGCATTTACACAGGTTGGACTCTCTCACTAAAACTCTTGCTCTAAAGCACTTCTCTCTCAAAGATACTGACTTGATCGTCGGAGGGCTAACGGGCCGAGATGCCCCCCTCTGTGCTCGTGTGTGTAGGCAGGCGACGGACAGAAAGGACGCGGGCGTATTAGCAGGGCGTCGAGGCTCAAACAACTTTGTACTCTACAATCCGAACATCATGAATTTCTTTTACACTTCGCATAATTTTTTAAGGACTACAACTTTTACTATGAAGGAATTTTCTAAACAGAAAATATTTTTGGATATACAGAGTTTTGGAAATAACTTTTCCTTTACCTTTCACAAATCTACATACATTCCGAAATTATGGCCATGATAAAAGTTGTAGTCCTTAAAAAGTAAAGCGAAATGAGAAAAAATTCACTACGTTCGGAGTGTGGAGCACAAAGTTATGGTCATCCAAAGTTTGACGAAATCGAAAACTTGGTTGTTCGCGGTAGCAAACTACGTTTTTTCGGGATGAAGATGGGATCAAATAGCCTATAGCGTTTGCGACTTGCAAGATCTCGAAAAGTTATGCGGAATAAAAAAAATTGCTACGATCGGATACTCAAGTACAAAATTAAGTTTGTTTGAAGTTTCAGCCTAGGTTAGTCGTATTGTGCGAAAAAAATATCATGTAAACCGTTGGGAGGCAGGCGGTGTGCATATTAATCGCTGCTACCCCTGGTGGTCAATCGAATCGGTCGGACCCCATGCACTTTTCAGCAAAAACCACGCCCCCACGAGGCTTTCGTGTTAACCACGCGGTGGGGTGGCGGTTTATGAAAAATGGTGGTATTTTTGGAATTTTTCGGACATGAATGGTATTTTTGGATTTTTTTGTAGTATAGTTGGAAAATTTCCTAATTTAGTTCTAGAAAAATGTTGGGATAACTCTTTTTGTGAAATCACCGGATATATGACAACTACTTCCACTATAATTTTTTGTTAATGGCAAATATGAAACAACTTTTTGTAAAGGAGAAACAATGTAACACGTTAAGCAAATTGCATATCGACAAAACATGGGAGAGATTCATGGTTTATAAATAAGAAATCGGTCTTAATCAACAAGACGCGTTTTTGGGTGAAATGGAGAAGTTCTTGTCAGAACTCCGAAGTTAAGCGTGCTCAGTGTGGAGTACAACAAGAATGTGTTACCTTATGGGAAGTCACCTTGAATTGCACCCCAAATAAAAAATCGTGAGGATCGAGAGTCCAGATCCAAAGTAGACAATATCTTAATTGGAAAAAAGTTGGGATGTTATAAACAACTTGAAAAATCAGTGGCCAATGATGCAATTAACCAGTTTTTAGAAGCAGGTGAAACTTGAAAGGAACACATCCGGACTTAAGAGCGACGGAGGCGGAAACTGAGGGCCATCCGTAACTCTTTTGAGTTTAGGAAACGTGAATAACCAGAAGAAGAAGCTTCAAGCTTCTGTCCCTCAAACTCTCTTCTTCTCCACCGACGGTCGCTGCCATTATCGCCGGTCGTTTCGCAATTCTTCAATCGATTCACCGGTACGATTCAGCTGCATCTTTAGGGTTTGCACTCCCGCAGTTAGGTTTTCGCCTTATTTAATCCGTTTCCGATTCTCTTCCTGTGAACTCCTGCATATCCGAAACCCTAACACTTTGGTTTTTTTCCCACCGATTCGTTTTGCCTTGCTTCCGCACCGCTGGTATTGGGTGGGAGCGGATCGTTAATTTTTTTCAGCGAGCGATGTTTTGAACAGAGTCTAAGCAATATACTGAGACTGTACTTGTGCTTTCCTTCGGACGCTTTTAATCTCTCTGTTCCTATCATATGTTTTTATACGAGGAAGAAGGTTGCATTTGGAACGTGAATGCATTTTGAATTAGATTGTCTTTTTGTAGAAGGTACAGCCGGTTTGGTCTGTCTTGATTGGATGAAAATTGGAGCACGATGGCTTACACGCAGAAAGGTGCACCTACCAATGGATCTGTTTATGTGTGTAACTTGCCGGAGGGAACTGATGAGGATATGCTGGCAGAGCATTTTGGCACCATTGGGTTGCTAAAGGTAGGGAGTGTCACCAGGTACTATTTGATGTTGCAGTTTCTTTTTTGGATTAAGCATGCTTTCTAGTTATTGCTGTAGTCTCTAGTTGTTTACTCCATGCCTTTCTAATTGATAGAAAGACAAGCGAACTGGTCGTCCCAAGATATGGTTGTATCGTGACAAAACAACCAATGAGCCGAAGGGGGATGCTACAGTTACTTACGAGGATCCACATGCAGCTCTAGCAGCTGTTGAGTGGTTCAACAATAAGGACTTTCATGGTAGCATAATTGGAGTCCTTCTGGCAGAGTCTAAGAGCAAAGATGAACAACCATATAATGTTGGGAATGATTCCATTATGCCTGGTGATTTTGGCGGTTTGGACGAAGACGCTAAGGATATGAATGGCGTTGGTGGAAGAGGTAGAGGTGGGGGTGATGCTTCTGCAAAAGCATGGCAACAAGATGGGGACTGGTTGTGTCCCAATACAAGGTCTGTGATGTGACATCGGTGAGCGGCTCTTTCTTTGTCTTTCTTTCATGCTGGTGCTTCTTTTTACTCTATGATTGCTAATTCTGAAAGTATTTGCTCGTTTTTTTGTTTATACAGTAGCTGCTCAAATGTAAATTTTGCATTCCGTGGGGTCTGCAATCGTTGTGGGACTCCTCGACCTTCTGGTGCATCTGGTGGTGGCGGAGGTGCAGGAGGCCGTGGTAGGGGTCGCGGTGGTCCAGATTCTGGGCCTGGGGCACCTGGACGGGGATCTGGTGCCACTTCAAAGCTCTTTGGCCCAAATGATTGGTCTTGTCCAATGTAAGATGTTCTTCGTGTTGTTTTTTTATATTGACTGATGGTTCAACTTGTGAGATCTGATTGAATATTGTGTAGTCTATTCTCAATGTCATTCTTTCATCGTTTCTGTTGTCTATCCTTTCCCATGATGTATCAATGTGCGGGTGAAAGTTCTGATTGGGATATGAATATGCACTTGCATTGAAAAGATACTGGAAATGTGTGTTAGATACCCTTGATTTTGCTGTATCGTTGGGAGGAATCAGCATTGCTTGAGTTGACCTTGGGAAGCTCTGGTGTCCTCTTCTTCTATGTGCATTTTTTATGTCAATTAATTCATTCAGCCAGCCAATGCTGTTGCATTTTGGTTGTGCGATCAATGGTTGCCGACATTCCATGTCTTCTACTTTGTTGGATTTTCATTTTCTTAAATGATGCTGGAGCTATGTGTTGTGGTTGGTTAGGAATGCTTGGGAGACCCATAACATATTGTCTCAACATGATAGTTACCCACTTTAAGTAGAGATAATTTTGGACATGAAAATAAGGCTGGGGGAAGGATGTTTGGTAAGCAGTAATACATTGTTGTGGTCAGGGGATGATTTTGCTAAAGGAAATCAATTCTCTTGTCTGTAGGTGTTCTAACTATTAACTACTCACTCATATTTTGCCCTTGGGAGATGTATGAGGGATTCTGTAATTTGTCTGGCATTTGACTATGTTGTACTTCCTATCATCTTTGTTTCAGGTGTGCCAATATCAATTGGGCCAAGCGTACTAAGTGCAACATATGCAACACCAACAAACCTGGGCACAATGAGGGCGGTGTTAGGTACTATTAACTGTATTGCGTCTGTTTGATTGTATCAAATGTTGAATTAATTGCTAGTACAAGTTTTCATTATTGAACTGGTTTCTATTAATGTTTTGATGTTAGTGCTTCTATAGGACTTAGTCCTCAATGTGCAATTGTAAAATCATTAAATCACAGGGAAAACTCAAGGAAGTAAACCTGTTTTTTTCCATAACATAAAGTTTACCTGTTTATAACTGACCCTATTATATTGTTCTAATATATCTATATCTAAAGTGATAAAACAGCATCTTGAAAACTGTGAACAAACAGTGGCCTTTGGATGGTTTTTGGTCATAGGTTATTTGCAGTAGAATATTTTTTCTGGTAGCTGGAACTGTAAGTAGTTAAGCCTCTTAAGGCTGCATACTGGGAGTTCTGGCTTATCATTGTAAGTTAGTTACATAGATACCTTTTATGAAAAATCATTATTGTTGTATCTTTTTTATTTCACTGCCTTGTAGCATTTGTGAATATTGATTGAGTACTACTTTAGGACTGTCTGGTTATGTTCTCAAGGATAATCTATTTCAAGCATGATAATCACTGGTTTCTGTGGTGTAGGTCTTTTAGTTTGTTTGTTCCTAATACATCAGGCTGTTTACTCCCTAGATTCAAAAATCTAGTTGCATTGACGGTGGCTCTTTACTGCTCGTAGTCCATCCTGCCTCTTCTATTTGCAGAGGTTGCCATGTTGTTTGTTCCTGCCTCCCTATCACTGATTTTTATTCTTGGCACTTGCAGAGGTGGGCGTGCAGGTGGTTATAAAGAACTCGATGAAGAGGAAATAGAGGAAACGAGGCGTCGCCGCAAGGAAGCTGAAGATGTAAGATGAGTTTGTATTCATGGCTTCCTTCTCATATCTGGTTTTAACAAAAGCTATGTGATGGCCTATCAGGATGATGGTGAAATGTATGATGAGTTTGGCAACTTGAAGAAGAAGTTCAGGGTCAAAACTCAACTAGCTGAAGTGGGCAAAGTACTACCAGGAGCTGGGCGTGCTGGGTGGGAGGTCGAGGAACTAGGTGAGTCAGCTTTTCATTGTATCTGACGTCTTATCTTGCTCCTCGGTTCTCTTGTTAAGTTATAGTTGTGTTTTATTTGTGTGATGCTCAAGGAAGTGTGTTTTCAGGAACTTTGTTGCAACTAGTTACCTTCCAGATAATATGCATGCTAGGGTTATAGCTAAAACAAATATGACATCTATGAGAGCTTCAACTGCGTACGTTACGTAAGTAGACTCAGAGCCACAGCTACCAGCTTATGTGCCCTATTCAAAGATTGAAGGCATGTCTTTTTATTCTCTTTGACTGTAAGACTACCCATTTCGTAACCCCGTGTAGATGTGAAGGCGCTTTAACTCTATCGAGTAGCTGTGGTTATTCGATTCGGATTTGTTTAAACTGATGCTGTTATATGGTTTAGTTGGCTTGATACATGACTTGTAAGGACCCATTGCAGGGGAGAAAGATGGTAGGGAAAGGAGCCGAGAAAGAGGGAGGGATCGGAACAGCAGCAGGAACAGAGAACGTGACGATAGGGACAGGCGCCGCAGCCGGAGCAGAGAGAGGGATAATAGGGGAAGAGAACGAGATTATGATTATGATCAAGATAGAGAATACGGCCGCGACAGGGACCGTGATCGCGACCGGAATAGGTACCGATACTGACTGAGGAATGGGGAGAGCAGAGGCCCGGGTTTTGTTTTTCTCCCTTTTCGTCTTGTTCTGGAATTTGCCTTCGGGGGAGATGTGTCAGTTTGTTTATGGAGCTCGTAGTAATTAACACTCTGTTTATGATCGTGAGATCCCGAAGAGGCTCAGCGCGGTGTTATTTTTGAAATTTTGAGCTTGCATGATACACGAACATGTTTTGTGCTCTTGAAAAACCTTTCATCTGCTTGTTTCCGCTTGTTTTGGGCCATATGGTTGGCTTCGAAAAATTGGATGTCGGAATGTCTGCTCAGTTTCAGGGAGTGCATGTGTCGGCACGAAAAAGTTAGATTAATCGTATTTCTTTAAGAATAAATATAATTTATTAGTCAGACCTTTGAAACTGTCTAAATTATTAGTTGAATCTTTTAAATACAAAATATTATTCAATTTTTTATAATGCATCTAAGTATTAGACATTTTCTTTATTATTGTTAGTTATTTAAGTATTTTTTTAGTTAAAGTATTAAAATTTTAGAATGTTGATCACCACGTGTCTCGGTATAATGTTGCCAAATCAATATTAATAACAAATATGCTTACAGGAAGTTAACATTTATGCTAATATTTTGTATTAGGGTTAATACCTTAGTTTGGCTCGAAGTTTAGCGTAAGTGACAGTTCTGACCCAATTTTTCAATTATGATATTTATGGCCTTCTTTTGAAATCATTGGACAGATTTGGCCCGAAATTTGTGTTGAAGTGATAGTGATGTGGCTTCCATGTCATTTTTATTTCAAGAAACATTTTCAAGTCTTTTTTTTTAATTCTTAAACACTTGAAAAATAAAAATAAACAATTGAAATTACAAATTAAAAAAATAAAAAAATCTCCTCTTATTATCCAAAATCTCCAAAGCCCCAAATCCAAACCCTAATCTAAACTCCGTCCTCCGATCTCCCCCACCTCCCTATATCTCACTTCACCGGCGACCCTCCCTCTCTCCTCCGCCACCAGTCCTACTTCCAGAGATGCTCTGGTGCGCCTCATCCAAATACGCACTCGCGGCATACAGCCGCAACAATTTGGCGACGACTCTGAAGTTCTTGTTCAGAAGGGCCGAGGACAGAAGCTGATGAATCCTAATCCCATTTTCGATTGATTCGAGCCGGCAACACGTCTCTAAAATTGAAGCGAAGGGGAGTCCGTAGAACAGGTTCCGGCCGATGAGGATTGGAGTCGACGATGATTTAGTGAATGACCATCGACGGGGGGGAGATTCGGCATCGGTTGAACAAGCAGCATCGACTTCCCCGAAGTAGGCAAAGCATGAAAGGGGGGAAAAATAAACTGAATCGCTAAATGTCGCCCTAAGAATTGCTAAACATCGCCCTAACTTAAAAATCAAATTACCTAAATACCCTTAATGAAAATTAGAAAATAGAACCAACCAAACAGCCCTTCCCCTTCCCCTTCCCCCTCTTCCCACGCGACCCCTCCCCTCTCTGCAACTCCCTTCCCCCACCTCCCGCCGCCGGCCGGTCCTGCTCCCGTCGCCGCCCCCCCCGCCAGCCTCGCCGCCGCCCCCCCGCCAGCCTCGCCGCCGCCCCGCCGCCAGCCTCGCCGCGCCCCCGCCAGCCTCGCCGCGCCCCTGCTCCCGTCGTTGCCGGAGAAGAAGGCCGCGCCCCCGCCAGCCTCGCCGCCTCCCTTGCCAGTGCCAGCCTCGCCGGCCGCGCTTCGACGCCAGCCCGTCGCCGCCAACCCGCCTCGCCGGAGAAGAAGGTAAGGAAAAAAAAAAAAAAAAGTTGCCCGAACCGCGGTCAACGCGCGGTCTGACCGGCGGTCAACCGCGGTCAACGCGCGGTCCGACCAGCGGCTGACCGCGGTCAAAGGGCGGTTGACCATTGGTCAAAACGCGCTTTGACCGCGGTCAGCCGCTGGTCGGACCGCGCGTTGACCGCGGTTCGGGGCTTTTTTTTTTAAATTCTGTTTTTAAAATTCTGTGTTTTATTATTCGTTAAGTGGGAGGAGGACGGTGGTAAGCTCTATGATATGGCAGCTGGAGTTTTCGAGTTGTACGACCAGTTGGTAGGGCAGCCGCCTCAGTAGACGATTGTGTTTTTATTTGTCATCGTTTGTAGTTGAACTGAGACTATTGTGTGTTTTATTTGTCATCGTTTGTAGTTGAACTATGACTATTGTGTGTTTTATTTGTCATCGTTTGTAGTTGAACTATGACTATTGTGTGTTTTATTTGTCATCGTTTGTAGTTTAATTGAGACGGTTGTGTGTTTTTTTACTTTAGTTACATTCAATGCATTGCTAAAATAGTTAATCAACATGGTAGATTACTAAATGTTTCAACAATAGAGAGTTATACAATTCGTAAATAGAGAGTTATACAATAGAGAGTTATACAATTCATCCCCGTGGGTTCAATCTATCATAAAGCGCACGCTCATGTAAGAAGAATTGATCCCACCCATTGACACTAGGGTCATGATAAATAGGCCAAAGGCCATTAATTGGAGGCATGGGCACTTGACCATGTCGAAAGTCAAGTCGCACCCAATGATCCCCCGTAAAATGTAGTGATAAGATCCCACGTGGTCTTGTTACTCCTGGTGGGGCCGTCACAGGTAGCACGGTATAACGACCGCCTTGACTGTATACAACGATGGCCCATGAATGCAAGGTGGCGAAGACGAAGAGTTCCGCATTATCCATCCAGTTGAAAGGTCCACAGCCACTTGTTGATGCCCACCTGCAACGTCGAATGCCATCTTCTATTCCATTTGCTATTCCATCATAGTAGGCTCTATAAAGCTCAGGACGGGATTCAAGCTCCTCTAGAACAGCGCGTCTCGTTTGTGGCCAATTCCTTTGGTCCCCAGTAGCTGCTTGTGATATAGCTCGAAATCCACAGTGTCCATCTGGAATAGGGTTGAACCAACCACGAACTAGTCGTTGCACGTAGGATTCCAAACAATGTAGCCATGGGTAATTCTTCCAACTAGTATTGGGAATCCGAGCAACCCTCCACGGGGCACCATCTAGCCAAAGAGCATAACACAATAAATTAATACAAAGAGTTACACTATATGTTTACCCGAAATTAGGAATATAATTTCTAACCTGTATCATTATGGATCACCGGCTCCGTCCCATTCTCGAAGTTGGTTTGTGCATTCCCATTCGGTGCACCATCTAGATGAAGAACATAATAGAATAAATTAATACAAAGAGTTACACTATATGTTTACCCGAAATTAGAAATATAATTTCTAACCTGTATCATTATGGATCGACTCCGTCTCATCCTCGAAGTTGGTTTGTGCATTCACATTCGGGGCACCACCTATCTCATTTAAAAAAAATAGATTAGTTGTACACCATATTGAGGACAATTGAACACAACTAAAAGAAAAAGTTAATCTACCTGTATTTCCATCATTGTCCGGAGTTGCAGTCGGAAGTCTTGAACTTCTCCTCCCTCGTCTCCTCTCCACATGCTCGAAGTGAGACAGGTTTCGAGTGGTGGACGTCCTTGGGCGACCGGGGCGGGGCTGTCCCCCATGCGGTTCATCAATGCCATCATTTTCAGGATGAAGATGGCTCCGGAGTAGGCCGATTGCACCTCGAATGGTCTCGTCGCCTCTATCAAGAACCTCCTGTACTAGACCTTGGAACACACCACGGTGGTAATCACTATGGTCATCCCACTCCGGCCGAGTAGGAGGTTCACGATAGTTGATAACGGTCCAGAATGGCAACACATCATACAAGGCGAAATCCCGATTTTCACGTCGTGCTAACTGAATGGAACATCTACATGGGAGACCATAGGTAGGAAGAAACGTACATGTACAAGGTTCCCCTTCCACTGCTACCTCGAACAACATCAACCTCAGAGCTTCTAGAGTGACTTTCGTATTCAACTCTCGAAATGGTTTTCCATCCGCTCGGAGCAGCTTCTTTTGTCGGGAATCCTCCAGCAGCTTCCTGATTTGAAGGTGTTGAGCCTCAATGTAATCATCGTTCTTCTTGTATACCTACAAACAATGAAGAACAATTAGGAGACTACTAAAACTTATGTGTGTATCAATAAAGATTTATTAGATTACTAACCGTGTCGACTGCGCCAGTAGATGATTGAAGCCACTTCTTGAAGGAGGAATGGGCAGCTCCGTAGTGTATTTCACGCCATCAATGAAATCCGAGGTGTAATCATGGCCATCCGGATTGTAACTTCCAATATCCTGCAATGTTATCAGTATTAAAATTAATAATCATCATAACTTCATATGCGAATCTATTATTTATGCAATAAATTTAATCTTAATTTGTAATGCAAAATCTAATCTTAATTTTCTAGATTAACACCAAATTAAATCTAATCTTAATTTAAGGCCAAATCTAATCTTAATTTCTAATGCTAAATCCTTCAATTCCAAAAATCTAATCAAAACCCAATAAATCTAATAAATTATATTAATCTTAATTTGTAATGCAAAATCTAATCTTAATTTTCTAGATTAACACCAAATTAAATCTAATCTTAATTTAAGGCCAAATCTAATCTTAATTTCTAATGCTAAATCCTTCAATTCCAAAAATCTAATCTTAATTTCTAATGCTAAATCCTTCAATTCCAAAAATAATTATGCAAATAAATCTAATAAATTATATAAATCAAAACCCAACAAATTATTTCATGGAACAATCATAAATCATATAAAAAATAAAAAATTATTCAACGGAAAAAAAAACCAAAAAAATTATTCACTTGCGGTTGGACCATGGTCGGACCGCAAATCACCCGCGGTTCCCAATTTCTGTGTTTTTTTTTTTGGTTCATGTTCTTACCTCGTCGGAGTCGCTACTCATGATTCAGACGTCCTATCGACGATATCGGCTTCAAAATGACGATGAGAGATTTTTCTCTCCTTAGAGAGTGTTTTTTTAGTCCAAGTGATGTTTGTTTGAGGAAGGGAAGGTAAAGAAGCTATGGGGGTTAAAAGTGTAACTTTTATTCTTTTTAGGGCGACCTTTAGCAATTTTAAGGGCGACCTTTAGCAACTCCCAAAATAAACGGCCTATGAAGAAGAAGGGTAGGTGAAAAGGGTTTTTGAAAGTTGAGAGGAATTAGTTGGGGAAGCCAAGCAATGGGAAGAATAGAGATGTGAAATTGAGTTGAGAGAAGGTTTTCCACTAATTTTTGTTTCGGTGGGGGAGAATGATGAATGATGAAGATGAACGTCGGCGATGTTGCCGTTCTTGAAGGGAGAACGGTCATGGTGAGCAGGGGAGAGGGTGAGACGGATCGAAGCCACTCTAGGAATGGTGGCAGAGCCATTTTAGGATTTTTCTTTTTTATTTTAAAGTTTTTAAGAACTAAAAAAAGGCTGGAAAAAATTGAAATAAAAATGACATGGAAGCCACATCACTGCCACTCATCATGGGATGTTGAGTCATTGACGAAATAAATGT